TAGGTTTTTTTCACCTACACATGTGATCATGAGGATTCTTACACACGTTCCTAGGGCAGAGGTCCCCTTAGAACCCATCTTAATGGTTTCCAGTCTAGTGTGAGACCAAGACATAAGCTGGCCATGATGGTCATGAATCAGAAGTAGAGACTTTGTGGAGGAGCTTTTAACCCCAAGTTGGATGGGCAACAAAGATCTATAAACAAAATGTACAGCATGGCAACTACAATCAGTAAATCAAGAGAGTAAATCGGAAAGTTAACTGTGATGGTAACTAGACTTTGATCATCATTTTGCAATGTATACAAATATCACTATGTTGCATACCTGAAGCCAATATAATGTTATGTCAAGTCTGCCTCAATAAATATTTTAAATAAAATTAGGAATAGTTAAGAGTCAGCAGGAAAACAGAAAGGTAAAGTCTGAGGTGAGTTCTGAAGGTTGAGAAGTAGTAAAGTCGGCAAAAAGGAGTTTCTGAGGCAGACACTGGAGATCCAGGAAGCAACAGGTAGAAGGTGCTGGAAACAGAGGTGCTGAAAGTTCCACAATCTGCAAGTGGCCCAGTTTGACTGTGGCTAGAGTGTATTGTGGTGGCTAGTGGTGACTTGCGCTTCCTGCATGCGCAACCCCACAGCTCCACCCCCTCCAAATAAATACAACATAGGAAAAAGAATATGCTCACCATGTCAGAGTGGCTTCACAATACAAGTTTCTTGGAGCCCTGTCTGATCATCTGCTTATTACAAGGTCCCACACAATATGAGTAAGGGAGGTAGAACAAAGCAAGCAATGGTCTGGAACCTGGCATGGGGCAGTGGTCTTACCAGTCAGTCATTGTGGCCGTCCCTGGTGAGGTCCATTGCCCCATTTGTACAATGAATAGTTGACCCTGCCCTACATGATCTCCAAGTTCCCCTCTGGCTTTGAATTTGGGAAGAATACTACCATGCATGTTGCTACTAGATGATCAAACGCTGAGATCTGAAACCAGCATGTTGACCCAAGCAATCCTCCCCTGATCCCTGCACCATCGTCATATCACAAAGGGCAAAGCAATCTCATTGCAATTCTTCCTAACTCAGCTAATAAGTAGTTTTTATTAGGAAGCCAAGATCTAATGGATAAAATTCTCAGAGGTTAGAAAATCAGAGTCTTTTCTTGGGCTCCTGCAAAAGAAAATGTGGAATGGACAAAGAAAAAGTGACCTATATGTGATGGAATATTATTCAATCATAAAAAATGAAATTTTGCCATTTGCAACATGTATAGACCTCAAAGGCATTGTGCTAAGTTAATAATTCAGACAAAGAAAGACAAACACCGTTCATAAGTGGAATCTAGGAGGGAAAAAGCTGATAGAATAGAGAGAAGAGTCAAAGGTGGGGCTCGGGGCTGGGTCAAATATGTGAGGGGGTCAAAATGTACAAACTCCTACTTTTAAAATAAATAAGTTGTGGGGATGTAATGTACAGTATGGAGACTATAGTCCACTTTACTGTATTGCATATTTGGAAGTTGCTAATGAGTACATCTTAAAAGTTCTAATCACAAGACAAAGATGTTTTCACGATTATGCGCGGTGGTGGATGTTATCAAAACTTATTGTGGTCACTCTGAAGTATACAAATTTCAAATCATTATATTGCACACCTGAAACTAATGTATTGTGTGTCAATTATACCTCAAAGAAATTTCACTTAAGTTTTTACCTGTCTTTTCATTTGCATTTTTAGAAGAAAAAGGTACAAAATAGGCAAGTGATAAATAAAGATAGTATTTACAGTATGCCTTTGCCTGACTTATTTCACCAGTGTAACACCCTTTAGGCCATTTGTACTGTCAAACTGGCAGGATTTCATCATGTGTGATAGTTGAATTCTACTTCATCATGTCTACATACTACATCTTTAACCATTCATCTATTGATGAGTATTCAGGTTGTTTCCATCTCTTAGCTATTGAAGATAATGCTACAATGAACACAGGGACATCAGTGTGTATTAGTAAATACCCAAAAGTGAAATAGCTCGATCTTGTAGTATTTCTAAATAAGTGAGACAGAAAAAAAATACCATATAATTTCATTCCTAACTGGCAGGTAAAGGAACAAATGAACAAACCAAACACAAGTAAATTCTTAGGGGTAAACTAACTGTACGGTGGTGAATGGAAACTGGACTTTTGGTGAGTTCACAGTGGAGCACACACAGATGTCCAGCGATAATGCTATACACCAGAAATATACAAGACGCTGTCAACCATCATTACTTCAATTACAAACAATGTTTTTTAACGATAGTATCTCCATATGGGGAGATTCCATTTAAACCTGCACAGAAAGTTTATCAATAGATCCATTTCAAATTAGCTCCTCTGAATCAACCATAAATCTTACAGTTGGGTCACTTGGGTTTCCGGCTCCACAGTGGGTCACAATCACAAGACCCCCCTGAGGCAGGAAGCTCTGAGGGCCCTTCCATTAAGATTTCAGTTCACCTGGAGGGTGGTTCCAAAGCTACCCGCTCCATAAACAACCCAAGGAATTCTCAAGGGAGATGGTTAAGGGACTAACCAAATTGTGCAAACAGCAGACTCTAAGAATTAAGAATGAGGGGCAAAAGGATGTAGGGGGTGATCATCTGGAAATCTAAGCAGGAGCTTCAGGCCTGCCATGCCTAGGCAGTAAGTAAGCAGAAATGGAGTGGAATAGCTGCCCTTGGGTCTGGACGGCGCTCACTCATCCACCTGTTGAACAGTATTTACCATATGCTCATATGGCGGGTGCCAGGCACTGGGCATTACAAAAGGAACGTGTCCCTGCCCTCATGCCAGCATGCCCTCTTACAACTCTCCTACCTACCTTTTCCAATTGCTGCCAATGCTCAGGCAATGCCGGAGCCCCGGGCACCCCAATGCCGCCACTGGAGAAGCGCAAGAAACAGGAAGAAAGACAGCACGTGTGGCTTGATTTCATCTTTCAAGACTAAGTCAGTCCCAAGAGAAAGTGCCTGGAATGGAAGGCTTTCTGGGCCTTCAAGAAGCTGAGCAGTCCACCTGTCTGAGGAGCTCCTGCTCTTCCATAGATGCAGGCATGGGAGGGTGTCAGGAAACAAGCCCTGCAGAGGCCAATGAAGGCCATGTGCCCAGTAGAGGAAAACCACTGCCCTGGGGTGTCCCTGCTCCAGCGTCCAGCACCCTGCCAGGCCCACCTCCCTGACACAGGTTGACAGCGTCCATCCCTGTACCTCCACAGAATCCAGAGCACTGAGCCAGGCATTTGAGGCTCTCTGTACATTGAGCCTGGCTTCCCCACCCAGCGCCTGTGACCCCCCTGGACCTGCTTGCTGCTGCTTCTTTCCTTTGTTAGCTCTCCTCCTCTACCCCTCCTTTCCTGCCCACTTTTCTGAGCCCATTCAAATGACATCTCCTTAGGAATGTCACCTCTTGGTGAGAAGGATTCTGTCCTCTAATTCTTCTGTGTAGCCCTTGGGTGCTTCCCATACAATTATAAGTGCTTTCTTGACTAGATTCCTTTCTCTTCCAAACCAGAGTGTGGAGGGGAAGGGTCTTTCCAGTGTTGGTATTTTATAACCCCCCCTCAGGCCCTAGAACAGTCCCTCTGTAAGTACTTGTGGAGTGCCTGAGGGTGAATTCAAGGAATTCACCTTATTTTGTTAACTTTATTGTATTAGTCAATTCAAAATCAAAAGCCAAAGGCCACACTACTGATGCAGAAACAATTCTGATGTGATCCTAAAGGAAAGGTATCTCGAACAATTTAGGTGCTGGTTTGGGGAGATGTGGGCCTTCTAACTCCCACCCCCATCAGTAATCCCATCCCCACCTCTCTATGTCCACTTCATCCCCTCTTCCTCTTCCCTTACCTCCACCCCACCCCACCTCTCTGCTGAACCACTTTAACCTTCTTAGGAGTTCCCAGGAGTTTCACTTCCAAATCCTTTCCACTCTCTCACCCCTCTTCCACTCCCCTCCCCCTGAAATATACTTTCAGGGCAGAAGAGAGGAGGTAAATCTTGCCTTCCAGTTTGTTGCAAATTGTGTCCCCGAGGCTCCAAGGACAGTCTAATATCCAGAGTGGCAGAGCGGTGATCCTGATACTTGGGAACTCAACAAACAATTAATACAAGATCTGGGATTTTAGGCAAATTTCAATTATTTAAGAGTAGTTTCCAGCTCAGAGATCCTACTTTCTGATGTCTAAATTGATCTATCTACCTACTTTCCCTAAAATATATAATCAATGTTGGCATTTTGCTGATTTTTATTTCTAGATAAGGGAGATCATTTATTGAGTACCTTAAGCTCCAGCTTACTGGAAAGGCAAATATCATCTTATGCTCACAATGACTCTAGAAGACATTGTTCCATTTTACAGATTAAAAACTGATGTCAACAGACATTAAGTGACTTGCCAAAAATCATGCAGAGAAGTTTGTGGGGCTAGGAATTCTACAGCTGATCTTATTAATGCAATGCTCATGCTCCCAGCTGGACCCTGAAATAAAACCCAGTTCACTTTGATGACTCCACCTTCCACTACAAAACAGGCATCCCCCAAACAATAGACCCTCAAAAACATAACTTTTCACACTGTAAGAAAAAGGAGTCCCACTGTCTCACAGGGACCCCATTTCTGCTCTCAGGATGGCACAGTCCTAAAAAGAACATGGAAGTAACTCAACACCGGGTATTACCTGTCCAACCATCAAGCACCTCTTCATACCACCCTATAAACACCAAAATCAACTTAAAAAGAAAAACCTCCCAGTCTAATATCCATTCCTTGCAGTTTCTTTCTAGAAATTAGGTGCACGTTAGAGTGTAGCATAAGAACAGGAGACTCCAACTTTCACCAAGATATCAAATTTCACATCTGGATACTATGCAATCCAACTGGCAAATGGTTAAAGCAAACACGAACGATAAATGGTCAAAGTATGCCATCACCACGTGAACGCCTGCCAGTCCTTCCCCTCTAAGACTTTTAAATAAAGTCACATTTCTTCATTCAACAAACATTTATTGAGCACCAGCAACTGGGCTGGATGCTAAGGAGGATAACTGAACAAGGTAAACCAGGCTCCCGTGTTCACTGGATACTTGTTTCAAAGGAGCCCGCCAGCTACCACAGGATACTTGTTCTTTGCTAGGATTTGACTAGGGGGCTGGGCTGGTAGGCCAGAGTCACACGAGGACTGCAATACTCTCAGTTTCTCTATGGCAGACGTGATAGAAATCTTTGTTTAACTTAGAGAAGGAACAGTCGGTCCGGAGGCTCCTCGCACCAAGCGTGTGCATGGGCAAGCGAGGCTGCGGCCGGCGGCCCACGTGGCGGGCTACACCAAACGGTTGCGCTTGTAGGTGGGGGAGTCTGAGATGCCGTCCCCGCACTGGGCCGAAGGGCGCTTGCGGGTCCCGCCACTGTCCAGGCGTTGGCCCAGTTCTTCTGAGTCGAAGGGGTTCAGGTCGTCCTCGAGACAGCTACTTTTTCGGCGGCCTCCGCCCACGGCCCCGCTGACCGGCGGTGGGGAGCCGGGCGCCCCAGATCTCACGCTGATGCTGGCCATGGCCCCGCTGAGGCCGTGCAGCGCGATGGCCTCGTGGAAGGGCTGCAGGTCGACGTCCACCGACGAGCTGGACTCTGGGGCAGCGGGCTGGCCGGGGGCCCCTGCGGGAGGCTTGGGGGGCACTCTGGAGGGGCGCGAGGGGGGCGGCGGTGCGGGGGGCACTTTGCCACACAGGAAACTGATCAGGTCCTCGCGCAGGATGGTGCTTCGGCCCTTTTTCACCCACTCCAGGACATCCTTGATGCGCCGCTGGCAGCCGACCTGGACGCCCAGGTCGAAGCTTCGCTGGTGGGCGTCCCCGCTCTCCTTGTACAGGCTGGTCACGGCCATGGCCGCATGCTGGAAAGGGTCCCACACTGAGCGTCCGGGCTGCGGGCAGCCGCCATCCTTGTAGAGCTGGGCCACGGCGGTGGCGGAGATCTGGAAGAGATGCCACAGCCTCTGCCGTTCGCTCTGGGGCCCCGCCGCCTCCTCCTGCAGCTCGGGGGGCAGCTGTGCCTCCTGTTCGGCCTCGGCCAGGCACTGCCGCTCCCACTTGGAGAACCAGGGCTCCGCCACCTCG